ACGTTGACAAAGAAAGAAGTATAGTCCTCTGAAATCTGAAAGAAAATTCCTCCATTTCAAGCAAAATAAGAAGACTGAAATATATGTGAACTGTGATATTCTACACCTTAAGGAATTATAAAACTAGGGTTAAATTAGTTTTTGTAGGGTTGTTCAAATTTCACTGTGTCCATGAGAAATGAAATACTGCCAAGTCCTCACGAAGGATGATGTTTTCCAGAAGTATTATTTTAAAGCTGCTATAAATTCCTTGTAGGTCACACAATCAAAATGCTCTGCTTAGCATCGTAATTGCAACAGGCACTGTAGTGTCATGCTGTAGAAAGTGTGACTTCCCTTGGGCACCTTCTCACTGAGTGAACAGAGAGAGCGAGGCGCAGAGAGCTGAGTGCTGAAAATGAAAGCGGGGTGTTTATGATGATCCAGGGACTAAAATGAGAAAAGGGAGGAAGCTAGGAGAGAACAAATCCTGGAGAGAATTTTGAAAAGGTGATATCACTGATCTCACAACTCTTGAGGTCTTAAGTTTATATGTGCAGTTTGTACTGCCTGAATTTTCAGTATTGCTCACGATTCAGTGCAAATTAAAGATTTTTGTGTCTTGGTAAAGGCAGCGTTTTTATGGTGCATTTGTAAACCTCAAGCAAGGTTTGCAATGGAGGATTTGCTCTCCGCCCCTCATTTTCCTTTGCAAGTAGAAGGAATCTCGTGTAAAGTTGAGAGTTGTGTGACTGCGTTCAGGAGCATAGAGCTGTGGGGGTTTGCAGCTTTGCTAGGATTTACAAGATAAGACTAGACCTAGTGGTTGTGAAGCATCTGAGCCTCTCTGTGCTGCTGTTAGGTGCGATGTCAGGGGTGGGAAGGGACTGGCTTCTCTCAGGTAATGTAATCTTTGCTGAATGCTTGCACCACCCCTGAAAGCACATTTTCGTACTATATTGGCATTCAGCCAAAGGTCTTCTCCTGCTAATCTTGTCTAACCAATATCATATCTGAAAATTGCTTTCCAGTTTTGCATTTAGATGATGCAAGGTCTTTACTGGTCCTCTGAGAAGACCCCCAGGTGGGCTGATGTACCTTTGCTCTTTGAGCCATCCATGAACATTTTAGGAGAGTATGCTTGGAGTGCATTAGATTTGCTCTAAATTAGTTATTAAAATTTAAAAACTAATTGATAGTTTACTTAAAATACTTGCTTGTTCTGCAGATGGTTCAAAAGGAAGGGAGGGAAAAACAAATGATGTGAAACAGAAAATAGCTGGTTAAAATTAATCAAATCATTTTCCTGATAAGATTACGATAAGGAACTGTTATTATGCAATGCTTTGTCTTAACAATCGTCCTGAAGAATTCTCCTGCACGCAGAGGATGGTTGAGTTCCTCCTTATTAGATCATCTTTATGAGCCATCCACATTACTTGGTCCCTGGAGTACTCTTGGTTTTTGCAAAATTACTTTAAATAAGTTAAATATGAGTACTTCAAATTAGGCTATTTTGAAGCTTTGAGGAGCTGCTGCAAAATCAGTGATTGAAGAGAAAGTAAGGGTTAAACGTGGCTATTCCACCTCCTCGTTAGCTAGTAGCTACATTAGCTGCCATAGTAATTCTTGGCCTCCATTTTTAATTCTGCCCCAGGTGAGTTTAAGAAGGGCTGGCTCCATGCTGTTGCCATGTCTTGGACGAGGGGTTGAGGTGTGAATGGCGTGTTTTCCTCTTGGCAGCTGTATGTAACCCTTCAGCAGAGTCAGAGTCTTGCTAAGAAAACAACAAATTCTGGGGAAAATTGAATAGATGCTTACCTCACTTACCCGTTGTTGTTATGCTATTTATAGATAACTTTGCTTTCTGATAGCTGTGTATTTACCTAGGTATTACATGCTTGTTCACAGACAGATAAATGTAGGCCACCTCTGAAAGATCCTGCACAGAGAATGGCATTGGAGAACTTTGTTTCAAGCTTGTAGCTTGCTCAATGTTTACCATTAGGCACATAGCCAACTGACACGCTGCAAGTTTCCTGATCAAACAACTCAACTGAGCTTTATTAGTCTAATTATTTCGCACTGTTGAAGAAGAAAGGAACGCAAGGACCTAGCAGAAGTTTCTTAGCAAGCTTCCTTTGTATTTTTTGTGTGGTGTCAGAGGACTGTGCTGTGGGATGCGTCAGAAATCTCCTTCCTCACCTTCCCCAGTCTGTGCTCAAAGGCTTAGCTTTAAATGGGAGCAATATTAAGGAAAAGGCTACAAGTTTTACATAGTTTTCCTGAGGTTCAGGGATAAAGATTTTGTCTGTACTAATTCCTTAGTGGTTCTTGAGGGATGCTTTCTTCTGAAAACTATCCCATATGTGCTATGCAGGCAATGATTGCTGTGGTTTTTAGTTTAGAGGATACACTGGTCCAATATACTTAACGTTTTATGATAATCAAGATCTAAAACTAAGTACAGTTACTGTCCTCTGTCCATGTGTTAAGGTTACAGTTAAAATATTTGATACGTTTTCATAAGTAATTTACCTTGTATTTCATATGTAATTTTGATTATAATCTTTTTAACAAAATTGTGTTACCAAAAAAGCACAAAGGAGCCTTTATATGCATGTCTAGATTTGTGTCAATTTAAACTTCAAGTGTGATTTTTAAACTCAATTAGCTACAACACCACAAACTTTTTATTTACACTTGCATGACTTACTTCAATTTAGCTGATATCAGCAAGCAATTAAATCCAAAGAGTACTGACAGAGGGGGTTGTATAGATTTCAGCAAGCAAGTTTTAGTCAAATTTGTTATATTGAATCTAAGATCCTTTTTTGACTTAAGCCACGCTTTAAAAGTGACTTTGATTCATTTCTCTACATAAAATCTTGTAATTCAAGTGATGTATTAAATTTTAAAAAAAGCAAATATTAGTGTATGTGAGCAGTCATATGCTGAAGCAACGTAAATCTTGAGGAGTGAAGGGTTTACAAACAGATTTCTCTTAGGGAAGAACAGCAATTGACACCCAATTAGTGTTAAAGCATATTCCTAAGGCTCTATGCCTACAGCTAGCACAGCAAGTACTAGTTCTCTGTGTTTCGATAGTATTTGTGCTTCAGTAAAACATATTTGTAAAGTAAACACAAGGTTGACTGAATGCATTTTTACTGATCCCTTCTTCTTGCTGAAAACCTGTAAGAGGCTCACTGGACTGTGAACCAAAACGCGGTGCACTGTTCCCTCACCTCCCTCTCTGCCATCTCTGGGCCTTAGTTTTTGTTACTGTAAGTTGACAGAGAGATGGCAGTTAGAGAGATGGCGGTTTATGCATGAGCGAAATAACATGGTGGGGGGGAGTTTTTTGATACGTAATAAGGATAGCTCACCTTATTCAGAAAGAATAGCACCACAAAACTTCTCTAAAAATCATCCCAGTAATATTGAACTAGCCAGCTGTGCCTGGCCCTTTTGCTCTCCGTTTCTGAGTGTGGCTTTTCCTCACTAGAGTGGCCTCACTCTAGTGGCATCTAGAATGGGCTCGGTACAGCGGGATGGCGATCTGGTGAACCCTGACTGGCTGGGGGAGCCTTCCAGCTTCTTTACTCTTGCTCGATTTGTATATGCTTCATACCGAATAGCACCAACCAAGGACTTCATAATCAGCCACTCTTTTCATCAAGCTTAGGCAAGAGGAGGAGGAGGAGGAGAGACGTTATTTGCAAGTACACACGAGCAGGGTCTTGTTGCTCTCTTGACTCATTTAAGGAACGCCTGCGTTTGAACATGGGTCAAGAAGCATCATTATACACCAGAAAAGTATTATTGTTCACAGCCTCCCTAAGCTTCTCATCTGGTACACCTTAGCAAGCGCGGCGTCCGTTGTAGCAACAGCCCTGCCACTCGTGTGGGCCCAGGATCTTCTCTGGGTACCTACTGTGCCGAGACAGCTCCCCGTGCACAACAGCCTTGCTACAGGCACACAGAGCAGCATCACCCTGACTCAAGGTTGCGGCATGTCTGTGAGCGTCCTGGCCAGCGTGGGGAGGCGCTGAGCCGGCTGCGTCCCTTCCCAACCCTGGGGACTGGCATTGGGCTGGTGCAAGGAAAGAGTCTCTTGTAAGTTAGGTGGCTTCGTTCATCCTCTTGGTTTGGGAGCTTCAGTGTTATCCTGAAGAGTGATGCTTTTCTGAACTGGAACTAGGGACTACTTAGTGATGAAGTAATTAAATTGCACTTTTCGTGAAAAGCACCCTCACTGTGAATTTATAACATTTGTCATATATCCACGAATAGCAAATATGATCACTGAAATAAAGATTGAGATGAGAACAAAAGGAGTGACATTATGTGAGAAATTTAAATTTACAATGAATTTGATAATAATTTGAAGCCTGTCTGCCTGTTTCCATTGTTTTTAAAAAATCTTCTCCAAGATTCTAGGTGAATAAGAAAAATTTAATGTTTTCTGATTTTTTTTTTCAAGCTCACTGCTTGAGAAAGAGGGTAAACCTTTTTCCATGACTGAGAACCGTATGAGATAAATGAGATCTTAATATCCTTTCTCTTTGCTACCAGTTTTGAAAACCATGCTTTGTCTTGCCTGTAGTTGATGTAGAATGCATGCGAAGGGCGAGGTAAGGTTAAGGCACACTCAGCCATAGGGAAGAGGGAAATCATGAAATAGATGTGAAAACAGGAAGTCCAAGAGGAAGCTCTTACAAACCTAATGGCAGCTGACTCTCTCCATATTGCAAATAGGGAATTTAAATTTGTACAAAGCCTCGTAAAGTACAGTTTGGAAAAAACACGAATGCATTCACATCATCTGTCACTTCTTCCTTCGCTCACAATGGATAATGAAAGAATTTGCTGTGTGGTGGAAGATTTCTGCTTGTTACATTAGTTTAATTTTATTATTTTACAGGTAATATTATACTACTCTTATTATATAACATATACGTATTGAGTGTAAATTTGGTTTCATTTTCTTAATTAGTTTGACTGCTTCCTTTTTGCAGGAACCTCATCCTTCTGGAATAAGCCCTGAAAGAGGTCCACAAGCAGGTGGAACCACACTTACCATCACTGGTACAAACCTGGCAACGGGTTCCAAGCAGGATGTTCATGTTTTAGTCGGCAGTGAACCTTGCAACGTGTACGTATGAAATGCTGAGGACTTAACAATAGGGTTGCATCCTAACCAAGCACCAGCCAAGTGCTGGCACTTGCTGGCCTTTTGGAATTACACAAATCTATTGTATGTCTTGTAGTGACTCATCCCATGCAGTGTGGCTCTGCACGTAAGGTTTAGACAGAAACTCACTCGGGGGCTCCAGCTGGAAGAAGCAGCTGCAAAAACAGCCAAAGTGGGAGAACTCAGATATTCAAACAATTTTCCAGTTTCAGCTTTCTCTGCTTGACTGGATGTTCCAAACTTGTCCATTTCCCACAGTATCTTCTCAGTGGTTCCAATTTTAGTCTTGTAGTGTCCCTTGACTTGTTCCTCTCTCTTGCTTTTCTTCTTCTTAATTGCTCCCATTCCCCACCCCCACCCCACCCCAAACAGAATAACATGAAGTGTGCTGAAATCTTGTTGTCCCTGTGTTTGTGCACTATTGCTTTTCATATCCAATATCTTTTTTGGTAAGATTCTAAGTGATCTGGAGAAATTATTGTCCCCTCTTCTAATTATTCAATACCTGGCAAAATAGGGCCCATTCTTGTTGGTTCTGGGGTCCTACAGTAATAAATACAAATTATAATAATGTTAGTAACTGAAGATGTTTCCTCTTCTCTTTCTTCTCTGATTTAGCACTGAGTTTGGAGACAAGATTGTTTGCATTACAGGACCTAATAGCAAGGTTGAAGATGTTGACGTAAGAGTCCGCTATGGGGACGCAGCAAGTAGCATTCCAGGGAAATTTTCATACAGAGAGAATCCTACTGTCACCAAGTTCCTGCCAGTGAATAGCTTCAGCAGGTAATGAAACGTTTGTCATAACTTCATTTGTGATTGATTGGGTTAAAATATATGTAATAGATTTTCTTCCATGTAGAACTGTTTAACATAAGAGCTGTTGTGCTCTATCTATGCACAATTTTAGATACATAGATTTTGAACTCTTTCTAAACCACAGCTGGCGTTTGAAAGTATTCTGTTTACCCTTACTTCAAAGCTAAATCTTGAAATCAGAAAAAGTAATGAGCTTCTTATAAATGAAAATGTCTTAAAGGAAAAGATTTGAAGGATTTAGGTATGATGTCAGATCACACGATCTTTGTGTTACTTACAAATTCTTATTCTCTCTAAAGGCGAGATCATCTTCTGAAATTAGTATTAAAGTGTCAGAAAAGTTTCTAATAGTTCTCCTGTTCAGCTTTTAGTAGGTAAGATGGAAATAGCGAAAGTAAGTCATGGCTTACCATTTTTTCCTCCCATGAGAAAAAATCTCTTTTTAGGAAATTTAGATCAGGGTTCAATAAGGCCTTTAAAAGCTATGGGCTCTCCTGCACCGTGGCTCACTTCATGTCCCAGCTAGTAGCTGTTCACTCAAAACACTGTTTCTTCTGGAAAAAACCTCGTCTAGTACTAATTGTTAAACCAAAGAAATATATGCCACTGTTAACGTTTGTAGCAAAATGGCAAATCACCTGTTTAAATGCCCTCTTAGTGTGCCTCTGATTTTGAGAGTAATTCCACAACTGATACAAGGACAAACTTGTGACCTTTACTCACATTGCTCTCTGCTGTTCCCTAATATTCCAACCTGTCTGTCTAGTAGGAAACAGTTGGCATTTTCATATTCTGGAATATGAAAAACAGATCAAGATGCTTCCTTTCTCTTTCAGTAAAAGGAAGTGTAAGATCATGACCTTAAAAACAGAGCTTTAAAATTAAAATCGGCTGTGACTTCTGTTGGAGGATTTGGTACCAGCCTCTTTGAATATGGAGTGGTCACTTATGTAGAAAAGGATTTGGTTTCATTGCTTCTCATTTTGGTTTGATTTCTTTTGTGGGGACTGGGGTTTCCTTGGTAGACCAATAGCGATTTACCTCAGGGGATTTAAAAGACTTTTCTTCTTCTTCTTCATAAACTGGACCTTACTTTAATGGTTTCTTCTAAGGATGGCTATCCCTGTAAATCCAGGTTGCTTAGGTATCTTCACCTTTCACTGGCAACTTTTTCTTATGTGAATTCACTCTCTTATAAATAGTAATTTGCAAATGAAAGTGAACAGAGAAGCCCTAGAGACTTGCAGAAAATAATGCTTTCACCTTTGTTTGTGTGTGTGGTGGGTGGAGAGATTTCCAAAAAAAATGAAGTGAAGCACATAGAAGAAGGCATCAATAACAAGCCCCGAATATTGACAGAGAAAGGGATTTGTAGTTTTTTTAGACCGCTATCCAAAAACTAGTTTAAAGTTCATCTTGCTCCGTTTAAATGCTGTGGTTACAGATACCTTTAATAGAAGCTCTTTGTGTAGGAGATCTCATTATCCTATAGGCATTCCGTAACTACTTTCAGTACAATTAGTAGTGGTGCCGGATGAAGTAGTCTATCGGTATCGTATTTTACCAATGACTTGTTTTCTTTTTTAATTTTAACTTTCAGTGGAGGGAGAAATATCACGGTAACTGGAACTGGCTTTGACATCATCCAGAGATTCTCACTGGTGGTTTATGCAGAGCGTCCAGAAGCAGGGAAACAAACTCTCAAAAGGGTAATTTTCTTTTTTTCCCCAAAGGCATCACAGTAGATACATAAAATATGGTCTGCAAAAAAATGCATTTAAGTTTGCCCGCTTGACCTCACTGGACTTGGAGTGGAATAAGGTTAAAAAGACTTCTGGCTGTTTCTAGCTATATAAAAAAAGCCTAGTCCCGCCATCTTTACTTACATTTAGTGGTACCTTGCAACTTTCTGCTTTAAAATTGTTGAAAAATGTATAAGGATGGAAACACTAAGCTTTGAATGGTAAACTGAATATATTTCAGAATTTGAAAGTGGTGTAATTCATGTTTCTCACTCTCTCTCTGCTCCGTCTTCAAGGTTTAGAGAATTGCCTGAGACAGGACCCAAATGCAGACAGTCCTGAGTGCTTGGCTTTGCACAGTCAGAGCCTTTTATTTTCTCACACCTCAAAGAAAGAACAAAATCTTTCTCTTTTATTTCTTGCAATATGCTTCAGGCATATTGCACTTACAACATGCGCACAATTACGAGTTTTAAAAAGTAAAACAAACCCTTTTTGTGTCTCATGGTAAGAAGAACTGACATTTCCAAAAGATCGGAATTTCTCACTCTTCTAATGAAGATCACAATGTAATACAACGACTGAGAAGTTAAAGTGATCTTCCAGTAAGAACACATTTTCCATTATGGAGAATTTTTAATACTAACTCTTCAATTTAAGATTTTCTTGTGATCTAATTTTTGAAAAGTAATTATTATTATATGGAATTAGTAATGTGTTATTTTTTATATATATATTTGTATGAATCAACTTCTGGAGTGTGCCAAAGCCTGCTGGATTTGGCTCTGTTAGAACTATAATTTTAAGAAGGAAAACTGCATACATTTCGCATACCATAAACTGCAAAATATAATTCTTCTATATCCTGCTTACCTTAAACCTCAAGATAATCTCAAAGTCTATTTAGCATTCTTGACCGTGTTTATCAAGATTTCTTCCCACCCCTCCTTATGTGTGCTTCACATCTCCCAAACGTGATAGCTTAAGTCCATATTATGTATTGTGCATATTCTTAGTTAAGTCTAAGGACACACTTAACACTGTTAACACTTAGGAAACACTTTAAAATCTTTTCTTTTATTCACATTTACTTAATCATGATATCAGAAATGAGGAGGAGAAGATATCAAATTGCATTTGATTTCTCAAAATCAAGAACAGAGGTGATAATGTAAGAAATTTTAAAGGTTCCTCTTAGTGTTGTTGTCTGCAGTTGGCATTACTGAAGGACTGAAGGACTTTCTAGGATTTATGTTATTTGGGAAGGGGGCAGGGAAGAGTATTAACTGAGTTGTTAACTTGAGTTGTTAATTGACTCTTGGTAAATTTTATTCAGAAATTATACTTAGTATTTATATTGAATTTCTGCAAGATATTTTACAATGTCAAAAGAAAAGAGTTTACCTGAGATGCTTAATGGTACAGAAAACAGTCTGGATTAAAGCTACCGTGTTAACCTCTTAATCTTAGAGCAATTTAATGATATCAGCCCAGTGTGGTCCAGAGCCAGAGGATCTGGAGGCAGACGGAAGTGGAGCTGTAGCCTAAGCTTTTTAAGAGGGGCAGGTACTAGAACACAATGAATCGGTATTTTTTTCGCATCAGCAAATCGTTGTTTTGTTTTCCTCTCAGAAGGTATCTCATACTGTTTTTGTTATTTTTGCTGTATGGAGAGGACATAACTCACAGTGCTTTCATTTCTACAGTGTAAACTTACCAACAGTTATGTGCAGGAACCAATCAAGCTCTAAAATGTGCATGTTCTTCTCGTCTTGTTTCTTATAGTTTGATGGAAAACTTGTTACAAATCTCAGTGCAACCACAGTGGTTTTCTCTTCCCCACCAATACTGGAAGATCCAGAAAACTATAATATTACCACTATTATTCTAATGGATCATTATCATTTGGTTGTAAAAAATGAGAGCCACTCCTTTGCATATGTTGCAGACCCAACCTTTGAAAACTTCACAGATGGCATCAAAAAACAAGTCAACAAACTTATTCATGCAAAGGTAAACTTGTCAAGAGATGACGTTGGCCCATTTTGTCGTTAAAACTTGTGCAGAATGTTTCCTGTCTTTCTCAAAACCTTAACCTACGACAAGTAGCTATTTGGTGCCATACCCAAAATGCTTACTGGAGCCCCTTACCACTGCTAGGTGCTGAGCACTGTCAGGGCCCCTTTCCTCCCCGCTCCCCTTCTCTTTCTTTTGTGTCTCATCATGATGCACTGTACTGCTAAGCCTGGAATTTGGAAACTACCTCTCTCCGGGATCCCCACGGAGGACAGAGGACTGGGGTTGGTTTCCTTCCTTCCTTTCTTACACTAAGAAGAAAATAAGAAGGAAGGGCAGTTGCATAATTCTCCTCTCCTCTGTACACCACCATGCGAATTGCATTTTCTGCTCCGAATGATCCCAACAGAAGTTTATATAACTTATGACTACTTGTCTCCCAAGACTTCCTGCGATGATGATTTAGCCTTGTATTTTCTGTCTAGGGCAGTAATCTGAACAAAGCCATGACAATAGATGAGGCCCAGGCTTTTGTGGGTGATGAACCGTGCAACATAAAAACCCTGACTGAGAAGGACTTATACTGTGAGCCACCAGAAGTACAGCCTCAACCCAAGAAACGGCAGAAGAGAGATACTATCAATAACCTTCCTGAATTCATTGTATGTTACCTTTTCAAAATAATGCACTATCTGTGTTTAAGTGACACTGATACAGTAGGTTCTTAACTGAAATAATTGGTTTTTTAAATGACATTAGAATATTGTGAAAAACGCCTTGCACAGTTCTTCTTTTCTGCAGATTCTGCCTACTGTCTAGAAGACGTTGCACATAAAAAGCAGCCCCAAGCTGCTGATTGCCTTCTGCCTTCGTCACATAGGAATGTATATTTGTAGCTAGACAGGCTGGGGTTTTTTTTACCTCTGTAAAACAGATTAACGTTGTTTTTTGAAACCTAGTGCTAGTCACTTAAATACAGTATAAAATATGCAGAAATGGTTCCTTTGTTTGGCAGTTTGAGCTAGAAATTCACTAGATTGCAAGGATTAGTAAGAAATTGGAACACAATTGAGAAATGAACCACTCTCCGTTTGTGCTTTTTGAGACAAATGTCTGTGCTTATCTGATCAGGTGAAATTTGGCCTCCGAGAATGGATCCTAGGAAGGGTGGAATATGATACACGTGTGAGCGACATCCCACTGAATCTTATTTTGCCACTTGTATTTATTCCTATGATAGGAATCATCATCATTTCTGTTTTCTGTTATAGGTAAGAAGCTCCTTTAATTAGAAGCTTTTGCTATCCTAAAGCTTTGAAGGTGATATCTAATTGTTTTACCTCAGTCTACAAAAAGAAAGGATCTTTATCATTTTTGTGTGCTGTACGGTTAAGGAAAGCAGCTACAACTGGAAATATGTATGAGCACCAATTTATTCCTCTCTCATACACCAAATTCCTTGGTGTCAGTCGGCGCAGTCTGTCTTTTATACATAAGCCCAAACAATTGGTCCCGGGCTTTCCAAGTGCACAATCGCAGACCAAGTTGCACGCATACCTTCTTGAAATTGCATCTAAAGTGCCTCTTGTGAAGGAGGAGATGACTAGTTCTGCATACATCTCTATAAGCATTTAGCTGGATGGATTTTGCTAAGTGATCATTTTGATCGTTCCAGCTGAGATAAGTGTTATCCACACACAAATCTCATGATTAACGGTGAAATTCCTGCTTCACAAAGGGCCAGAACAGTGTCTGTGCTTCATGTAAGACCTGCTTAGGCCAATATTGAGGTTAGTAATACATAGGCCTCGTACTGGCCCTCAGCACGGGATAGATTTCAGTCTAATAGTGCGTATCAATATAGCTGAAGTAACGCTCAAGCGTGTTGTACAGCAGTGGCCTTCTTTTGGATGTCCTCAGCCTGCTCTGTCCAGTCCTAGGTACGCTCCCCTGAGGCCTCATAGCTAAGGTGGAGCATGTTGCAAGTGATCTTTGTTCAGTATATACAATTTAAGTTTCTATACTTAATATATGATCACAAGCATTCCTAACTATTACTTACCGGATTTTAAATCATTGGCCTGTGTGTGCTCTAAAGCGGTAGGCCCCTGGTGGTGCCAGGCTGATTTACACTACGTGAATCTTTGGTCCACTGCTGTTGTTCTCCTCCTCCATTTTCTCTCTGCAGCTAGTGTTTTAAAAGAAATCAAAAACAAGACATTGTCCTCCAATGATTTCTTTTGCTTCGCATTTAGGGCTATTGCAAACAATTTGCTTTTACAGTTTGTAACTTTTCTATATCTTACCTCTGTTTCATAAAGACGCAAGAGCCAACAAGCAGAACGAGAATATGAAAAAATCAAGTCACAACTAGAAGGACTGGAGGAGAGCGTCAGAGATCGGTGCAAAAAGGAATTCACGGGTATGATCATGAGAGGAGCTGGAGCAACTGTGCTATCTTACTAAGGCTGTCTTCTGGAAATAATTAGTAGATCTAACTGCTTTAGATTGCAGACATCGACATAGAGCAAATATTTTGCTGACTGTTATATATGAAAGTCATAAATAAAATAAAATAAAATAGGGAGTTGAAGGTTGTTAAAGGAAATGGACAGTTTTAGTCTAAAGGAAGCACGGGAGTTAGTCAGCAAATGAGAAATAGAAACTAGTTGAGAATGGGGTTGTTTACAGCCACTGATACGAGTGGCCATTGATACAGAGGAAAGAAGTTTTATAGTAACTAACCGTGCCCTTAGTATTGAGCATAATGACAGTATGTGCCAGGCAAGTACATTAAAAACTCTTTTCAGAGCCGCAAAATGTATTTGCAGCAATCAGCATACAAAGGGATAATTTGGCAAGCTTGCAGGAAAGAAATAGCATGTTGCCCTATTTATCAGGAAAACCTTAAGCTTCATTTGAGGAGCTAGCTAATTGTTCTGGGTGAACATAGAGGCATCATCCCAGGGAAGACAGTGGGAGGTGTGAAGGCTCAGCATTTCTACAGTGTTACTTAAATTAGGCATCTGAGTTTGCAAAAACTGGCCTAAATGATTACCGTGAGATGTCACCTCATTACCTGAAGCATACTTGCTGTTGCGTCATGTTGAAATAATCTATTGAAAAAGCACACGTTTTATTTCTAAAAAGCAATAGAATATTTCATACTGACAGTGGCTAAAAAGCAGGACTGAATTAAACACCAACTTGAGGTTAGACTTTGAAATCAATTTTTGGAGCTCAGGGTTTCACAAGATTTCTGCAATGCTGGAAGCCTCTCAAAGTCTTATTTTCCTGGAATTTCAGCCATTTGGGACAGAATGCTCTTTTCTTATATCAGCTTTCTTTCTCTGGAAAATTGACTCCTTCCAGGTTCTGGACAGAACCCAGCAGCAAATCTTTGAATCAAAAGCTCTTCCTAAGTGAGCATCATTTCAAACTGCTTTCTGAAATGTGAGAGGGTCAGTCAAGGTTAACAGCCCTCTCACAACCTCCCCCATGCAGCTTCACACACGTGTCTGAACTGAGAAGGTGCCTTTCTCTCGCTGATCCCAGTGAGTCGCTGCAAACTCCTGCTGTAGCCGCACTGCTTGTTGAATTGAAGGTTTCCTCCCTGTGTCCTAGTATATCTGCTCCACCAAGCACAAAGGTTGTAGAAAGCAGAATGCACGTACAAGGAGTGATCCTAAACTGCTTCCTCCTTGGCTGACAGTAAAATGAAACACCAAAGTCAAAACACATTCTGGATCTATACTGTAAGATTGTAATGACAAGACCATGAAGTGCAGACAGCCTAAAACCTAAAATACATGGAACTAATAATAGCAAAGGATATGGAGATCAGGCAGGAAGTACAAATACCACAAAGCTGGAAACCACAAGATGCTTCCTCCTTTAGGTTTCCTGAATGCTTTAAAATACAGGGATAAAAGAATAAATGACACGCACAATAAAAATTGCTGATACAGTAGGTCATTATATTAATTAACGTGGTGCTCTAGTCAATCCGCAATACTGAGTAATTGGAAAGCCTTCAGCTAAAATAACTGCTCCGAAAGGTGGTTCCCTAATTGTTGTCCCTTTCAAGAACTTGAAAGCTTTTGGGTCCCGTAGAAGTATTTTCATCAATTTCAGTGAACTGTTTAACCTTCTTCCTTCCTGCTGTCCCCTCCCTTCCAATTAAATTATTGTGCTTTAAACTTTAAGCTGCTTTTTACGTTGTACTTTTTTGCCTTGGGTTACTGCATCATTTAAAAAAGAATAAATAATTCCCTATCAGAGGGAATAGAGTGTACATGAGGAAAAAAAAAAACAGAAAATGATAATGCACTGTCTTTTTTTTTTGCTCTTTCCTACCGTTCTATGTTTGTATGTATGAACTTCACCCAATTGTCCATTGAGGCCCTATAGGCATTGTATATAAGCAACAAGGAAAGAATGTATGCTAAAAACAGGTATGCTGATGTCACCACAGGATTAGCTGTGGTGACAGCTAACAGAATAATTGGTAAAAATATCAAGGGAAAATATGGGGTGAAGAACAGTTTTCAGTGTTCAGTTACTTCTCCTACATTTACAAGGCACTCAAAGATACCATGTTGCCTAAAAAAGCTGCAATTAAAAAAAAAAAACTCTTAAACTCTGTTGCCTGTTCTAGATCTGATGATAGAGATGGAAGATCAGACAAATGATATAAATGAAGCTGGAATTCCAGTACTAGACTACAAAACGTACACAGACAGAGTCTTCTTCTTGCCCTCCAAAGACGGAGAGAAAGACGTGATGATTACTGGGAAGCTTGATATTCCAGAGGCGAGGCGGCAGACTGTGGAGCAGGCTTTGAACCAATTCTCCAATCTACTCAATAGCAAATCATTTCTCATTAATGTGAGTATTGAATAAGATTCACCTTGTCTCTTAGCTAAGCATACGTGTGTATGCAGACCACCCAGTAGATTTGCACAGCTGAAGCAAAATTATTAAAAATAAGTGATTTTTAATAAGGTTCTGGTTCCACAGTGACTGATGCCAGATCTGTGGCATCACTGCCAGAGCTTCCCTGGGGGGAAGGCATGATCGTATTTCTGTAGAATTACCCGGATCATACAGTACAGAGTTAGTCAGCGTTACGGTGGCTGTAGGGAAACAGACATTACCTGATCTGAAAGAAAAACTGCAGTTACCCAGTTACTTTGTCCTTAGCCTCTTAAGAAATTTAATCAGTGGAATGACAGATTCAGTTCTGGTTCAGCTGTGTGTCATGGTCACAGCAGTTACCTACTGGAAGTCATAAACTGGATTTTTGTCTCGTAGAGAGAGAGGCATAGACGCCTCAGACCAGGAACAAGTGGCCTATTCATCAAGATTGATGAGTACTCAGCTGCTCTGAAAAGAATTCTAATTGCTCACTCTCAAAAAGTGAGCTGATTGTCAGATACCTAAATATAGATTTAGGCTTCTAACTTGCTTTTTTAAATGAGGCTCCAGTGCTGAGCTAGTTAATGGTATCATTACAGCTTATGGCAGAAGAGAGTGCATTCCCAGGTGTACTTACTTAGGTTAGTGTCTTTCGTAATTTGATGTGAAAGAATTGGGAACTCGGGGAAGAGGGGAGTTGATTTTGCTTTTTAAAAAATTGGCACAGAACACCTTTTTCTCTTTTAATTAAAACATCCTTTTTATAGTGCTTCAGGTAAAATATATGTGTTCCTTGGGTTAGTCCAGTAGACTGTGTGAGTGTATAGTTAAATAAATTATAGGCAACATTTATTTGTAAGTAGTTTGTTCAAACTTCTGAAAAGCTTTCCATGCTGTGCATAGTAGATCAATGTTAAAATAATGTTGCTCATCCCTTTAGTGCAGACAAGTTTTGAGGTACTCTACAAACCTGTTCTCTGACTCAAATATACGTTTGCTTCCTCCTTCAGTTTATTCACACGCTGGAAAGCCAAAGGGAGTTCTCTGCTCGAGCTAAAGTTTATTTTGCATCTTTACTGACCGTTGCTTTACATGGAAAGCTAGAATATTATACTGACATCATGAGGACACTGTTCTTGGAACTGATGGAGCAGTATGTTGTGGCCAAAAACCCAAAGCTGATGCTGAGAAGGTTTGAATGATTCAGTCGTGTTTTCTGTAGTTCTTTATTTTTCTGTAAATGTATTTCGTTTGCAAGGTATTATAATATCTGTGGAAGTCAGAAATACCCTGTGCCTAAGTATATTAGGAAAACAAGATCAACAGGAATAGCTGTGGAAGGCAAAACTGTTGGCAGCAGAATATCCAAATGCTATAGTGTCAAATCTGTGTCAAGATTACCCAGTCATCTAGCTTCAAAATATAATACTGAATATTTGATTTATTTTTTAAATCTAATTTTATTCCAAATTATCTAGCATTTTTACCACCTGTCATCTCGAAATGAGCGCATCTAATCAGTTCTCATTGTGTAGTCAGTGAGAGCTTGCTCTAATGTTTTTTAACCCTCTTATTATCCCAAATACATTTTTAAAAGGCCATGCTCTGCATACATGGTTGTACTTTTGTAGTCAGTTGTTTTTTTCCCCCAGTAACCGCACAACCGGGTTCATTTTTTATCTCTTGTTCTTACAGCACAGTCACAATTTCAGATTTTGCATAAAGGATGTGTGCTTTTCAGTAATGAGCTGAAGGTACCCGGGAATGATGAGCAATACAAAGCACTTATCCTAAAGCAAGTGCATGCTCTCAAGACTCTATAGGGAAATCATTGCATTAGGAGAGTGCATGCGGTTAAGCATGTAGCAATATTATATTTCAAGCAATGTTTTTCTTTAAAACTTTGTCATTAAGTATTCTTAACATACTTGGGATTGCGTTTTTTAGATCTGAAACTGTTGTTGAGAGGATGTTGTCGAACTGGATGTCTATTTGTTTATATCAGTACCTCAAGGTAAGAGCTGAAGTCTGTTGCCTGTGTTTTTTTGTCAGTAATACGTAAACATGCTGCATTGAGTATATTTTTTGTTTCTGCTTTATTTCCTTTTATTCTGCTTAAACAGGACAATGCTGGGGAGCCTCTTTATAAATTGTTCAAGGCTATCAAACATCAGGTAGAAAAAGGCCCAGTGGATGCCGTACTGAAGAAAGCCAAATATACATTGAATGACACGGGCCTACTGGGAGATGATGTGGAGTATACACAGTTGGTGAGCAGAGCATGATTAATATATTACAAAATCATTTCTTCTATAAAATTAAGATCTATAGCCTTAGGCTAGTGCATTCTTTCTGGACCACTGTGATATGTATAGAAATGCGTATGTCCACTGGTAATGGACAGTGCTGTACATAGTCTGACCAAAAGCAAGCCTCCAGACAGGAAAGTTTTGCCTCTTTGAAGACTGCCCCTCTTTGCCCCTTGAAGATTCCCATTATTATAATAATTGAGACCTTTTTCCCATTTCCAAACTAAATTCATTCATAATTGATTTTTGCTAAGTTCTTGCACTGACATTATCCTGGAACTTCAGGTTATCTTTCTCTCTTGTGGTTTCGACTTGTCAGAATATCAAATGTCGTTTTGGAGATAATTTTACTGGTATATCAAGATGAGCTCCTCTGGAGTTCTGTAAGATGGGCTCTGCAGTCTCCAGATCACCCTGTGAACCTGTCTCTGCGCCTCTCGGAGTATGAGCCAAAGTCTCCTGAACATGCATAACCCAACTGATATTCAAAGGGGTGTGTTTCCACCTAAGGAGCCTAAATGCCCTGCATTGGCCAGGTGCCTCCACAGGCAGGTCTGGAGACCCGTGTAAGACACTTGAAGTAGGATGACATGAGCATCCCTGCCCAGGTTATTCACCCTCTAAGCTCCACCACCCTCTGAGCTCCAACTCCAGCTCCACGTTCAGTTCTCTCTTATTACAAATTCTGCTTTGGCTTAACTGTGTTCACTGCCGTTAATTTACACCAGTTTTTCAAACAGGCTTTGACTCACAGGGTGCCCTGTATTTCTGAAAGCTAAAACAGCCCACTTTTTAGCTGTTTAGGAAGGAAAGTATAAGTTTAAATTCTAGTTTTGCACATTTTGCACATTTTCTTCAGGATACAGTGTAACAAATATACAAGATGCCCAGGCTGTCCTTGAAAGATCAGCACAGGATTTTTTTTTCTCGTTGACTTTAAATAGACTCTGATGTGGTTCCTCTTTTATTGACATGTTAGTAGCCATTTGTGGTTGTCTCCAACTGAGAAAGATGCACTGACATATTTGCAGTGTGGAGAGAGAAACTTAACAAAAAGCTTTATTAAAGTCCTAGTAAAATCGCCGTTTTGTATGTTCTGAAAGGATGTTGATAGGAGGGCTGATGTGAGGAGGTTGCTGTAGGACTTTAATGCACAGAATCACTGGAATATGACCTAGACTGCCTGGAGGAAAAGCGTGTGCTGGGCAAGAAGTAGTATTTTAGTTCGGTTGATATTTTGGGGATTACCAGAGCTCTCATCTTCATATCTGAGCTGAAAGTACCACCCATAGTGCCACTCTGACTGGCAACCCTGTTTATACTTTCTCTTGTGTGTAGTGAACACAATTTATTTGCACCCTACATATGTGAGACTTAATGTCAGTAATTCTTTATTCAGTCTATTTCTTTTCACAAAAAAATCTGATGCCTGCAATTAAGCTAGAAGAATGCAATATGAAAGCAGAAGATTTGTGTATGTAATCAGATGTGGGCTGAACAAGCCTACTACTTAAATATTAAACATTGTAAATCGTAGAGGTACTAGGTCCAAATTCACTTATTTGACATAAAACAAAGCGTGTGTGTGTGTGTGTGTGTGTGTTCGTAAGGTGATGAGATATAGATATCTGTGTATGTATGATGAAAGATTATAAAGTGGGTTAGTATGGCTTTTAATTATTTAGGTCTTTAATGTGATGATGACAGTGTTACAGTAACTGTTGCATTGAGTTTAGTAAACAGGGAGCATTTGTGCACTGAGGTAGATTAATGCATATGTTAATAAGTTCACTTCTGCCTGAAACTGAGGCATAGCAAGAAAGGACAGTGTAGAGTAGTTATCTGCTCTCTAATTGTTCTTATTTAAAAGATGAGTCTGTTTTGCATCACTAGTTGCACTGACATGCTGCATACTGAACCAGCAACAAAATCGTGTCTAATTACCATAAAGCTAATAGGAAAAGGAAGGTGAAATCTCATGATTAGTTAGAGAGTTCTGTCAAGGGACAGTACAATCATGTTTAATTTAACTGCCATATGGCATGGTTTCTTAACTGTTTAAAAATAACAACCGTGCAAGTCTATTTCTGATAAAATTAGAAATTATGATTGACAAGACCATTTCTGAGGGGTGAGGTGCTTAGGCTCACTGGCCAATCATATGTCAGAGGTGACGTCTGCCTCCAAAGGACACCTGACTAGCAAAAGATGTATGAAGACTCACTGTTTTAACTAGTGAAAGACAAATACCTTGCATAATATCTCTTGGATGTTTTTTCTCCCATGAAGGTTCACTTACTTGGCCATCGTCTTCTCATTTGCTTTTTCCTGTTTTGAAATTGTCACTTATATAATGGAGCTACTTTTAAAAAAATCACCCTAGATTTAGCAAATTACAGGTTTTGAAGACATTCTCTTTAACGTAAATAAAACATGTCAATACTAGCAGAAAACAGTAAATTTTAGAACTAGAATAAACTATTTACTGTGCTTTCTGGAGGTACTAGACTAATTGTAATAGCAGTAAGAAGTAAATGAAATGTTTGAACACCAAAGATGCTGTATATGGCTTATACATGTATGAATGTATGTATGTGTGTATGTATGTATGTATACCTGTGTTATGTATGTAATATATATAAATGTAAAAAATGAGCAGCTGGTCACTGGAGATCAAGTTACAAGAGTTGAGCAAGTCACTACTCATCACCTGAGCCATATTAAATGACGACATGTACACTCATTAGTCCGCTCTACCTGTGAAGTAAAACCATGAAGATTTGTGAATGCAGCCATACCATACCAGTAAAACCATGAAGATAGCATGAAGGAACATGCAAGCTCACAGCTACAATATATTAGGAGTTCAGTGAAGTGCAGCTCAAATGATGGGTAACTCATTATGTTGGGGTACTGGATTACTTGTGCTTGTCTATGTCCTAGGTTATTGGGCTACGTAAGATGTAATTTGTCAGTGGTCCAGCTGCTTTATTCTTGTGCCGCCCTCTATTTAAAGCATTAAGAAATTCCACAGGCTCAAAAATGATAGCATATTAGGCATGAGAAAATCTATTCTACATCTTTTCTGTTTTGTCATAATGGAAGCAATGAGCTAGAATTTGTCTTAATAATTGTGTACATTCTTTCCTTCACAGACAGTAAATGTGTATGTACAGGACGGAGGAACGGATTCCATACCTGTGAAAGTGCTGAACTGTGATACTATATCGCAAGTAAAGGAAAAGATAATAGACCAAGTCTATCGAAATCTGCCATGTTCACAGTGGCCAAAAGCAGACAGCGTAGTTCTTGGTAAGCAGCTACTTGTGCTACTGTACTGAAGAGGTGAAATGCGCTTTGTGGTTTTCTTCCGCAAAAATTTTCTCCAAAAGCAATTTATTGTAAAAGAAGAAAAATACGATTAAAATGCTGAGTTCATGTTCAGCTGAAAGCAGAAGTACAGCACTTTGCAGAAGTCTTAATATGCATTAAAAAATGAATACTTTCTTATAGAGTTCTTTTTCCTGATTCTGAAAGTTTGGTCTGTTGTTAGTGTGCAATGGGCACATTAATGACTGTTAGTACAAATGTATTCATGCGTGATAGAGTCAGTATCTCAGGTCCTAATTAATGTGATAATGACAGCATGGACAATTAATTGATGGAGAAGTAATGATGCAGTTGTAGAAACTGATACTGATTTTGACTTGCTCATGATGGCTATTAAAAAAAAATACAACATAAAGAAGCTGCACTTTCAGGAGATGATGAGTCACTCAACCTCTGAAAATCATTTTTCTTGAAGAATTTCAAAATTGCTGTTCTGTTCTGAAAATGTTGATGTGACTGTTAAAAGGTTAATATTCTCACACTGAGAGCTCTAATTAAGTAGTTTTGTGATATCGTTGTTCCTGCCTTAGTCTGAAAGTAGAGGATGCAATTCCTACTTTTCAGAAAGCCCTAGTAAGTTGCTTAAAAATGCCTTTTCTATTCCATAGGAAGCCCTACTGCTCTATTTTGGGCTTATAATAGTTTTTGTAATATATAATTGTTATATTTTATGCAAAGGAATTGCACTTTCTATTGGAAATAGTCAGGAATCATGTGCATGGCTTAGAAAAGTGTAAACTATTTCAAACTATGCAGACATCTATAATAAAGGCCAAACTAGAAAGCAGTAAATGGCGCATATTGTGACATGTCCCGAACGTTTTTTTTTTTAATGATGTTCCACAGTGCCTCAGCAGTTCTTTAAATTGAAACATATTCTTGGAGTAGTTATTCTTGCACATGTTTAAAAAACGTTTTTTCCTCCTTTTAATTACTCTGTAGAGTGGCGTCCAGGTTCTACTGCACAGATCCTTTCAGACTTGGATTTAACATCACAAAGAGATGGCAGATGGAAACGCATCAACACACTAATGCATTATAATGTAAGGAGATGTTTCAGAGCACTTCTTTGCATCTGTTAACTGTTCTCTAGTAATAAACAAAATCTTTATTTGTTTTTAGAGAAACTTCTCCTGTGCTACGTAAAGAATCACAGAAAACTAGCTCTGGGCCTAGGCACTAAAAACATGTGAGCGTGGAAGGCTAGGTCTAGACATATTGCCTAAACTTCGTACCAAAAACATGCTACCTAAACGCCAGCACTTTGGTTTCCTCATCATTGCTGACTCCATATCTAAATTCCTTTTTGAAAAAGCCGTCTGTGCTTTTGCTAGGTCTCATGTTCATCTCTTATTTTCTTTTCTCTGTCACTTCCTACCCCTGAGATTTATCTTTGCCCTTGCTCTCCTACTAAATAGATTTGAGGTTGGTCTGGTTTATTCAACAACACAGTCAGGAGAGCAGGTGTTGATATTTTTGTACTGTCTGTTTTAGGTTTCATACTATGCTCACTGCCAAACACTTACAGTCCACTTGTCTTTCCCTTTATGCTATTTATCCCTTTCTAGTAATAAATATTCCAGTTAGGAAAGTAAGAAGTCACTCCCGCAGAAAGAAGGTCTGATTCTTCATGATAAAATCCATTTTTGTGCAAAGGGCCCACACACCGCATTAATGAACCACTGAAGTCTTGCATATGTTTCCAGTATTTTCAGAAATCTCAGAAGAGGTTTTGAATGTGATCTGTTATAAAGGGAGGAAGAGGGAATTTGTTTTGAATCACAGGCACAGTCACTCAAGAATCCTTTGAAGGGCAAAATTTATCGTAAGTCCAGATCCCCTGCAAAAGATTGCAAAAACTGCAGTTTAGGTGTTAACAACAAGGTTCAGTCATGCTGCCTTATTTGGAATAACGTCCTTGTGTTTGTCTTTTCAAAGGTCCGAGATGGTGCTACGCTCATCTTGTCAAAAATGGGAATTTCCCAGCAGCCGGAGGATAATCAGCAAGATGTCCCAGGGGAAAGTATGTATCATGTGGCTTCCCCACCTCCCAAAAGGACTAGAAGTCAAAACCTGCACAGTGACAGTGACACTATTGTCTTGATCTTGTTTATCAAGAGTGTCAGTGGAGCTATCAAGAGCGTCAATGGAGCTATACATTCCTCACCAAGTAGTATAGTGCTTACTTTTTTTGTGTTACCCACTGTACAGTTGTTTCTCCCTCCTAGTTATAAAAGCCTGAAATAATGCGACTTTCACCATAATCGGTATGAGTCAGTACCTCAGCTTAATAGAAATCGCTTTTTGCAAACATTTCCTGACGTTTTGTCTCTTAAACCCAGTACACCTACTTACGCCATGTCAGCTCTTTCCATTGCACATGAACTGCTACATTTCTTTTCATCCTTCACCTTTACAAGCTTGAGATACTTGTGGACTGCTTAGACAATTTCTGTGTTCTGCCTCATTTGTTAAAACACCTGTTTTATCTTCCCTCAGCTTCACCTCTTTGTCTCTTTCTTTCTGCCCTTTCTTAGTCTTCGCTCAGATTTCACTTCCATCAAACTGAGAATTTAACACAGTGTTCTGGATGAACCCATGCTAGAGGCCTGCTTCCATGCTCCATGACATTAGCAATCTGGTGTAGGGCAGTGCATTTTTTATTGCATTTCCTGTAGCTATATTGCCTTGCAGACTCGTCTCTGTATGTTCGTATTTGGTGTCTCCTTCCCTTTGAGTGCATGGCAAGTGATTTTTCACTTCAGCTATATTAGCTTGATTTTCCAGGGTTGGTTCGTTGGTTTTGTTCATTCCATTCACATAATTTCTTCAGATTCAGTGTTTTCCCCAATTCCTTTGTTCTTTTTAAGTTAGTTTCGGGAATATCATTATAATATTTACTCTTTCATATTACTAATGCAGCTGTTACATAAAGTTAATTCCAATACTGCTGCCTACAGCAAGGTGCTAGACTTCTCAACTCAGAATAAGGCCTGTTAGCTTGGAAACCATCTTTTAAAGCTTTTAAATTCCACGTGTCAACATTCTGTCTAGACCAAATTCCTAAATCTCAAAACTTCTTGAGAAACAATATCCTTTCCAGCCTAGAATGCACTTAGATTTTCATAGAAATATTTACTCGTAAATTTATGCTCTTTGTCATATGTGTTTCCTTCACATTTTAGATGTTCAGGTTCTCTCTTTTATCCTTTATTCAGTTATTTTACATGAAATAGAAGTTAGATGTATGAGATGATAATTGTGGAGATCATTCTTCCTTCCTTGAAGTCATTTGATACACTTTTCTGTCTAGCACTGATTGCAAAAGCCATTGCTTCGCCTAATAGTTTCATTCCTTTAAACAGATTTACTGATCTTATATTTAATAAGTTTTCAAGGGCCGGGCAGTCAAACAGATTGGAAATAATATACCAGAAATGTACATTTTTCAAGGAGATGGCTCCCAGCTGATAGCTGTGATGTATATTGCTATTTAACAAAAGTGTGCAGACTTCCATTTCATTAGCGTTGAGAGTTGGCCAGGAAATCAGTCCAGGCAGCGTTGCTTGCAGTTCACTTTTTACCCTCTCCTCCTGGGTGCTTTTTGCTGAGATTTTTTTCCAGGGTCTTTGGAGGTTCTTGTAATGGTCACAGCTGCAGCTCTACTGCTGTCCTCTCACTTCTTTGCTGGAGGTGCCTACCACAGTAGCACAAGCGGTGACTACTCCTCCGTCACGGCAGTTGCCAACCCAGCATTTTAACTTAAAAGGCCATTCTGTTTAAAACAGAGGGCAGTGAAGTGCAGCAAGGTGAGGAGCTGATTCCTAGTCCTCGTTCAATTTTGTTGCACTGATTGTTGAGCTGACTGCTGAGGCGGTAATCACCTCCGCTGCCAAGAGCTGGAGCAGACCGACAAATGGAGCCCGTTGTTGTTCTTTGCTTGCTTTCTTTTAACACAGGTAGGCGTTAAGTGTCCAGTTCTGGCTTCCCAAGCTTCCTCTTCCCCGCCTTGCTCTCTGTGTGGTGTGGCTGGCCGTAGGGGACCAGACCATATGAGGTTTTTATTTATTTTTTTCTCTGTAATTATATCTTTGGCTTCAGTTCAGTGTGAAGAAGCTTACTGAATTGCCTGGTCTGTACTCCAAGACGAGCTCTTTAGTCATACATGTGGCATACTAAATTGTAAAGGAAAAGCAGACTTCTAGGGCCAGTGCTATCACATGAGTACTCTGATCCATAAGGGGAAAAACCTGTAGAGACAGTTCAGAGCCCAAACCATGAAGAGAAGATGACTTCCACCTTTTTTTTTCTCCTCAACCTCTCTTGCATTGTGACAATGTACCCATTTGGGAAGAGAGTGTTTCATGCCAAGCTAGCACATTTTCATTAGTGCCTAGGGGTCCTCAGAGCTACGTGATGCCAGCTTGTTCTCTTGGAAAGCTATAAAATGTTACAAAGCTAGGGCAAAGCAACAGCCCACAGTGACAGTGGTTTCTGAGATGCTATGCTGTGTAAAAAGGAGAGGAAAAGATCAGAGACTTCCCCTCCCACATATATGCATTTAGATGACAGGCAGGGATTTACAAGGTTGGAATAAATAGAACATCCTATCCCTGCTCTTTGAATAAGACTTGTGACAAAGTGGTTTTCCTTTTATCCAGAGTCTCTCATTAACTTGCACCTTTTGCATTGAGAATTGTCAGCTGAAGCTACTGACTGTCTGCCAAAGTAGTAGGCTTTGCACAGAACAAAAATGTAAAACCGTGTTCAGAGATGTTTGCTCTAAAACCTGGCATTGCTTCCCTTCTGGTTTTAAATCACAGCTTCTAACAGGAAGACACCATAGGCTGGAGGCTGTGACAAATTAAATGCAGAATCTTTTGCCTCTAGAGACAATAAATGTAGTTACTGATTTGTATCAAGATGGAGAATGGTTTCAATCATTTTGCACTAGTATTTCTGTACAGAACTGTAAGCCAAAACTGCTCTCTGTTGATAACTTATTCTGTTTTTTTTTTTCTGTTTATTATTATTGTTGTTGTTGCTAATAACTGTTATTCTTATTCTGGTTTAGAGTAGCCAGAATGTTGCAGATCAGAAATACTGATTAGCAGATCTGCGTAGGGCAGTCCCACCTTCACCTACGTAGACAGGTGTGTTCATCAGGGAGGATGACACTGGAAGGAAACTAATTTGTTCCAGGCCGTGTGTTGGGAAAGAGACTGTATTGCCTGTCACCATCTCAGTTGCTTCCACCATGTTTATATTTGGTTTCTGCCATTATAATTAGTCAGCACAATCATGATTATGTTCCAGTGTTATTTTATATCAGCCAAAGAACTCTCCGGCGACCAACAAGAGGAGCACTGGGAGGAAAGTTTTTTGACCCAGTGAGTGCAGCCTTCTTCCCGCTTACAGCTTGATGCATATTGTGACTGCCAAAATATTGGTATTCACTCTTTTACTTTCTTCACTTCCTAGTTTTCCACTGGGGAAAATGTCATCTCACAGAAATATTATCTCCTCTTAGCAACCTTACCGATAACGCATTGCGTAGTCTCATGTTCTGAATTTCTCTTCCTCTTTCTTGCAGGTATTTTTAGCAATGAAATAGGATCTTTAAATTACAAAAGTTCATCTAGTTGAGCTATTTTCTCTTATGCCGTACTTTTCTGTGAAATAAATACTATTTCACTAGTAGCAAACTATGTTGTTGCTAATTGAACAGGGGCCAAATTAAGCTACATGTGAGGGCAGGCAGTCTCCGTGGAATTCCACTTGGTTGTTTCTCTTTACTCCAAAGTTAAATTTGGCCATACCATCAGGACAGCAAAGAGGATAAATTCCTTTGTATCAGAGGAGGAAGCAGAAGTACACCAAGCAACTTGTGTAAGACTGAAAAATAGTTTCCGTTGTAATTACATGTTCTCATCTATTTATTTACAAAAGTAAATAACAGGCATTGCAGACGAAATTCAAAAATTCAGGCTCATCAGTAGTTTTTACTGTACTGGTGAATGATTGCTATGAATGGAATTGATTTTGAAATCATAGCTGCTTCAAAATAAAATGATAACTTTTATTCCTACCTTACTTCAGTGGCATAAGTTTCCAAGTCAAGTTAAGGACTTTCAAATGACAACATGATCAAGTGTGGGAAATTTGGGGGAGGAAGAGTCTACCTAGTCAAAAAAAAAGTACAGGCACGGAAGGCTGCATAGGTAATGCTTTTCATGAGAACATGTGAAATGGTTCAAGCAGAAGTGCTGCCTTTTCCAGATTACATTAAAAAGTTATTTTCCCCTACAATATAAAATATCGAGCACATAGACAATCTGATAAATTTAATGTAGCTTTTGAGGAACTTAGTTTCAGATCTCCTGATTTTGCTTGTTCTTTCTTTAAATCCTAAGGTGGCATTAAGATACCTACTTCCAAAATCCCTAAAATCAGCGATGGTCTTCCAGTAGAAATTCATCAGTGCATTTAAAATCATTGATGTTTTAAAAAACTGAAAGTTACTTTTCCCAGAAAAATGGCAATTCAGCCCCATTACCCAAGTTATTTTGCATTACAGTTAAGTTTTATGCTTTAATAGAAGTACAAGTGTGTAACGTAACTTGCAAGAATCGCAGCTGCAGCGGAAAATATCAATTTTGACTTGCAAGAGTCTATCAAATTTTTGGCTATAATAGTTAATTAACTGAGTTTGTGACATCTTTTTTCAAGGGAGATTAATGGCAAGTTACAACAACCATGTCTTTTTGAATTTTTGAAGCAAAAGGTACTCAAACACAAAGATTTTGTCTGAACATTCACCTATTATTGATACTTAAATGCTGGATTCTGTGTTTATTACACTGTGTGATTACTGAACTAAGTGTAGGGCCCAGGCATGTGATCCAGGTATGGGTAACACAGCAAGTTACTGTAATCAGCTGAGCTGTCGTAAGCATCCAGGTGCTTACTCTTCTTTCTGCTGTATGATGATAGACTTGCTGTGAGTCTCTTTCTCTGGTTTAAGCTACAGTTACTGGCAAACAAGTTTTAAATAATCTTATTGTAATGGGTTACAATTTGCGGCCTGCAGTTATTACCTCTGTCTGCAGGAGTTCATGCCGTCTCAACGAAAGGATGCGTTTTTCCTTATTTCGACTATAAAGTCAAGTGGTTAAGCCTATACTGATGATAAATGCAGGTTTGAACTGAGAAGCCATACTTTGAACTTAGCAGTTAGGGTAAAAATGTAAGTTTGGATGACGATACCGAGAAAAAAGGTTGAAACTGTAAATTCTTAAACTGCCACTGCCAAAATCACCAGAGCCCATGTGAGCATATGTTGCGTTGCACCTGGAGTGAGCTACAAATGCTCAATCTGTGTTGGCTGTAGGGTCACGACTAGCTGAGTTTCTCTGACTTGATCATGTCTCTGAGAACTTACAAGGGCGCAAAGTATTTCAGTGTGGGGACCTCAAAAAACATGCATATGGTGCTTGCATGACCTAACAGGAGTTTCCTTACTGTGCACTTCCTCCCTCTGTCTTTGCTGTTGGCGGGAGCAAGCCACAGTGTTATCTTTTCAGCTTATGGTCTTACAGAAAATCTAGTACTTGAGTTGTGTGTGTTAGACAGGATTGGAGTCATCTAACTCCTCTTGACATGACGAAACCACTAACGAAAAGGAAGAAGGATCTTGTGTGTACTTAGGTATATTATTATTTTCACGTTGCTGTTTTAGGGAAGAGTTTTTGGTCACTGTTGCAATTGCTGTTCCTAGGGCATGCACTTCTGGAAGATGAAAATAAGGTCTGGCACCTAGTTCGGCCAGTGGATGAAATTGATGAAGGTAAATCGAAGCGGGGGAGCGTGAAAGAAAAAGAGAGAACCAAAGCCATTACAGAGATCTACCTGACAAGACTTCTGTCTGTGAAGGTAGGGTTTAGGTATTTGCTGTTACTCCACACTTCTACGAACCTTGAGCTACAGCCAAACAAAATGACGGAATTCTTAATCTTACTTTTGGCTGAAATTTTGAATATCTGGATCATGTACATACAAGCTTGTGTTCAGAACTTGAAGTGATTCATATGCCCTCGAGAACGTTACTGGGAAGGAGATAAAGTATATTTCCTGATGAAAGCTGAGAACTATAATTCTGCACTAGTTAAATGAGGATTTTTCTTGCAAGATGAGGATAGATACTCTCTTCTGTGCCATCTTTTAGATAAAATTCTCTTTTTATTTTGAACCAAAGCCTTTATATACTGCTGCAGAGCTTTATATTTCCCCATTTTTGTTTGTGGCCAACACTGCAGTACAATTTAGAAAAATAATAAAAATATCTTCAAATAGTAACCATCCGTGTAGAGTATTTTTAGTGCTTATGCAGCAAAACGTGTCACAGTCAAAATAATTTTGCTAAGCATTCTTCATTGCAGAAAGAATTATTTTGAAATTTTTCAGAATAACATGTTTACTAACCCAAAAGCCAGGACCCAGTGCCTGTTCCTAGGGAAGATGCGGTTGTTCCAGCTCCAGCTAGGGCCATTTGACCAATTGACAAAGTGGATATGAAGGAAAGTTTGTGTATGGAGGACATTGACTCAAGATGAAGGGCCAGCAAGATGCTCATATCCATCTCTTTTGTTAACATCTTCCCTACAGCCACCCCTTTTCTGTTCCTGGTAGCTGGGTTGCAGATTATTGTTAGTCTGGAGCTTTACTAGCTCATGTGGCGCCGCTGGGGCATGACAGTGGGGACCAGTGGCAGCCCTCTGAATGCACTTTGATCCTCAGGCTTGGCAGAGTCCATGGGCTTGGGCCAGGCTCTGCATCTAATGAGACCAATCACTTGCCCCTAAACAAAAAGTGGAATGGTCACTTGTTACTTATTCCTCTCCATTGGTTTCTAAAAATTGCTGTAATAGCACATGATGCTCTGGAGTCAGAGCAGCTGGAGGTGGGAAGCCTCAAAACAAGCAAGAACGTTGCCCACAGTTATTTTATGTGCACGACGGCCCTGAACTGTGTATGTATTATATACTTAGCAACCAGTTTTTGCTTCTTCTCTCTGTCAAGCACAAAGCACACCTTTCTGTGTTAATCGTGTAAGAGTCAGTGAAGTCAGAGCCTTTCATACTAGAGCATAAAATTGTTCTCTGGAAGGTCTTTACTGTTTGGCTGTTTGCAAGGTCACTGCATTGAGAAGTTACTTGTTTTTGTCATCTTGCACCCATAGTACTCAGAATAAAGTCCGTCAGTTTGTACCTGGAATAGAGGCTGTTAGTGTAAATGGGGAAAAAAACTCTGGGATGGCACTGAATTCAGCTTGTAATGCAAATGTAATAGGTGATTATTTTTAATTCACTTTCAGGGGACACTTCAGCAGTTTGTAGATAACTTTTTTCATAGTGTGCTCAACTCAAATCATGTGGTGCCACCAGCTGTGAAATATTTCTTTGATTTTCTTGATGAGCAAGCAGAAAAACATGACATCAAGGATGAAGATACCATCCACATCTGGAAAACGAATAGGTACAGTATGAACAGAAAAATAATTGTATTGCAGAGAAAAACGAAAGTTTAATCCCTGCTCTAGGGGGACACTCAAACTACAGATCAAAGTGACACATAAATGTAATTTATAATTCTCAGTATAGCTTTGATTGAGATAATGTGTTTCCATTCAAAAGGGTTTCCCATAAGACTAGAAACTGCAAAAATGAAACCAGCTTACTATGCGGTAGTCTTCGGCAGATTTCCCTCCATATCTTTGGTTACTTTTTGCCTTTCCGCAGTGCCCCTGAAATTGGGGATTCTCTTCTGTTCTAGCCCTTCATAACAAGATCCCCCAGAACAGGAAGACGCAAATGGGACTAGATTTACCTGTCAAAGCACAAAAACTAATAAAATGTTAGTCTAGGCTTTTCTCTAACCACACACATGTTTTCTCTTGCTATTTGGAGGTACTCAAAGTTCTTCTCAAAAGAATTTTTCTCATGTTGCTGTAACAGTGAGAGATGTAAGGCATTATTTTCCGACATGGAAACTAGACAACAAATAGTTTATGTAATTGTTGAAATATAAAATTAAAATTCACTGTAGTGAGGAGATCAAAATGCAAAACCCATATTTAATTTCTTTTTTTGTTGTTGTTGTAGAATATTTGCTGTGTAAAAAGGATTATTTATCTTTTTCCTTGCTTTGCAGCTTGCCTCTTAGATTCTGGGTAAACATATTGAAAAATCCCCATTTCATCTTTGATGTTCATGTTCACGAAGTAGTGGATGCTTCCTTGTCAGTCATTGCACAGACTTTCATGGATGCTTGCACAAGAACAGAGCACAAATTAAGCAGAGTAAGTGATTTGCATTCTACATCCTGACTGCGTTCATGCCTGACAAGACAAAGGGCATGAACAATAGCCATTCTCAGAAGAGATACGGCATTGATAGTTTCTTTTTAATTTTATAATGGAGTTAGCATTTCACCACTGAACAGGTTGGTGAACATGTCATTGTTAGTATGTAGTCTGCCAAACGGTATTCATAAAAAGGAGAAAATATCAACTGCTTTTATAAAAAGCAGGTTTGAGAACTGATTATTTCATGTCCACCATAATTTAGAATCGTCTTGCATTGATATATTTGTAAAACCCAATAGTAATGTCATATGCCAACCTCATCCCTCTAAGACAAATAATCCCACCCACATACCAAGGGAAAAAAATCCAAATGTTAATATCTGAAAAGCTCAAGTGCATATGTTATAAAGGGGTGATCTTAGGTGCTTCACTTTCTGTTACTTCCTAGAAACGTTCCTAAATCAACCAAGCTCTCTCTATTCCAAATTTTTTCAGGATTCTCCGAGTAATAAATTACTTTACGCAAAAGAAATCTCTAACTATAAGAAAATGGTGGAAGAGTAAGTATAAAGACACTTTCTTCATATTTATTCACAGTTCTCAAGATTTTAAGCCTTTGTGAATGTATTTAGTAACAGAAGACGTGAATGCTGAGGGAGTCAAAGTCAACTGTCAAACGTTAAAGATTTTATGCTTGAATGTTAAAACGTTCCCTTGTTCGTATGAGAGGCTGGGAGGAGACAGAGAAGAGAGAAGGTGTTGTTGGCAGCGCTGAAATGAAATGCCATTATGACCCAATGCATGTTCGTGTATGTGCAGATAGACAGATAGATTTATTCAGGAAACAACACGGTGGTGTCTTCCACGGTTCTTCTCCTTACCTGTATAATCTGTCTAATCAGCACTGCACTTCCGCAACTGAATAGGGACTAAATCCCCAAAACATTTTCACAAACACATCCCTTCCACTCAGCCTCTGGCTTTGTTCATTTACTGATTTGAGAATTGCATGCATACAGCTGAAGGTCTGCTGCAGGAGAAACGCCCTGCTAGCTGATGATCTCAAGAGCTTGAATAGCTAAAATAAGGATCAGCTGGAATTAGGAATAAATTTCTTTCCTGTGGTATGGCACTGTACCTCAGGTGTGATTTGCCTCTGCTGCTAATGTATCAAGTACTAATGACTGGCGGGAGACAGGATTACTAAATGGACCGTTGGTCTGTTGTGGTAGAACATCTCCTGCATTATTAAGAAGCATGTTTAAAATAGTTGCAAAGCCAAAATACAGAATTACCAGAAAACCACGGTGTATTTATTTCACCTAATTGAAAGTTTGTTTTCATTTGTTGCAGTTATTACAAAGGTATTCGTCAGATGGTGCCAGTTAGCGACCAGGATATGAATACCCATTTAGCAGAGATTTCTAGGGTAAGAATAAATTAAGATTTCTTGTCCTGAAATTGGAACCCAGTACAGCTCTCTTTTTCACTGTCTTTTCTTTCTGTGAGTGAGTTTATTGTATGTGCTAACATAAAATGAATGATTTCATACATCTGTGAAATACTCCTGCTTAGTGTAGTGATTTTTAGCCCTTTGAAATGCTGCTTATTGAATGGAACCAAGAGCAGTTACTGTCACAAATCTTTTTGGACGGTGTTGGTGCCAGAGCAAAGTGGGGTTTTTCACGTCTGTTATAGAAAGATTATAAGACTGTTGAGTGGTGTTTTCTCTCGGCAGTACATGGAGGATTTTTAGCATTGATCATACTGATAGCAAGTAATAACTGGGTTCACAGAGTGATACCACAGCAAAAATTAGATTGCAGAAATGAAGGGGGAGGCATGTATGTTAAGTAAAGTATAGCATACTTTAGAACTGTCTGTACAAGGGCAAAACTACTGCTTTACACTGCACATGTGCCCTGCAGGTTTTTGGTGGAAACAGGCAGCTCAGGACACGCACATGAGTCATTCTCCAAGTGCTCTCGAAAGCAGTGCCTTTTCCTTCCTTTTCATATACTAGGTTACTGTGGGTTGCCTGTCATAGCGAAGAGCGTGGAAGGGAGGGGGAGCAGCGTTGACTGGTACCTGGGGACTCTGGTTTGAGACAGGTGGAGCAAAGATGCTTACGGAACCTGCTTCAGCCTTGAAAGAGCCCGTCCATGCAGCAGCTCAGCATAGCGAGAGCAGGCTTATGCCTTTGGGAGCCCTCAATTTAACTTAGAGAGCCAGAAGTCCTCACCAATGTTAACAGGTTTTGTTTAGCCTGAGCAAAGAGATACTGTACTTACTGGCTGCTTTGCTCGTTGAGTTCAGTTTAAGAGTTCTAGTGTTATGAAGATGTCTGGGGAATTTCTGTAGTTTATATGTTTCAGTGCCCGTAGGACCTAACGTTTTGCAGATCAGCTTCCTCGTGAGAACGTTTCTATTTTCAGTAATTCACTACGCAACTCATCTGCAGTGACATTTCATTTTCCAGTTCATGTTATTTATCTCAAAAATAGAGATGTATATAAAATTAAGATGTTTAGTGATCAGAAATAAATTTAAAAGCACATTTTAAGATCAGCAGAATATGCCCATCCTTTCTATTTACATTGCAAATTGTACTAAAAATAAATATGTAAGGGCTGATACAAAATTCCAAATTTTGACCAGCTCTAGAAGTGTCTCTTACAGAACAAAGAAATATGGGTATTTCTCTGCTGCTTTATACCTTGGGTAATTGTTTATGCCAGTAGCAATATTTTGTAATTCTTCATTTTCTCTACTAATTTAAAAGACTAAAGACATAGATGGAGCCTCAGATCCTGTACATTTGAATGAGGAGAGATGTTTAGACAGGTAGACCACGTTCACTAAGAAGTTAAATGTCATGGGGGAGAGAGGAAAAGGTAACGTTAGGGTTATTTCCTGCTTCATTTAAAGTCCCTTTTCTCTCTCTGTCCCCTTTCCATCTTCATGATCCAGATGGATTTTTTCCAAATGTACGTGTGCTTGCAGACTTGATGAATTACACCTTTGCTGTAGTGAGGTGTGGATGGTTTCAAACAGTTAAAATTGCTGGAAAAAGGATTTCAAATAGACACGACAGTGACAGAACCAACATTTAATATCTCAACAATATGCAGATTGTGCTGACTAAATGCTGTAGTTACACATAGCCATGTTTTTAGCAGATGTTTGAGCTGTAATCTGTGGTCTGACATTCAGAGTTCCAAAATATTTTCCACCTCCAGTGTCAGAGCTGTGGACAGGCTGGAAAAACACCAATGGGAAAATCTTGGTCTAAAGATCACCAAACAAAAGTTTTCTCACCCCTTTTTCTGCCCGAACTGTTATCTCAACAAAAGTTACAGGATGCAGAGCTTGACTATGAAAATAGGATTGTCTGTTGTATCCAACAGTCATGCATGTGCATAACTTTCAGCAGTCTTTGATCATATTTTGACATGTTTACTGCTCACTTGTGTTGTTTAACAGGCACATACTGATTCTCTAAATACACTTGTGGCTCTACACCAACTCTACCAGTATACTAACAAATACTATGATGAGGTAAGTTGCAGAGTTTGGGATTTGTTTTTTTTTTATAATATCAATGGTAACATGGTATAAAGGCTAACATCAATCTAAACAACTTTTAAAATTCTGTGGATAATCAGGTAAAAGCAATGCTGAACAGAAACCTCTAACTTCGGAGTTATATACATGACTTGGCATTTACACTGGTGAAGGGGGTATATTTATAAATGAAAAGTCTCATTATGTGCTATCCCGTTTTGATAGTGATAGCTTAACCAGATCTGAAAGAGAAACAGATTTTAAAATCATTTCTCTTCAGTTCTCCTACCATCCTAATTCCTAAGAATTGGGATTTAAGAATGCCACTGAGCAAAAAGCAATCCTCCGAGCTATGTCAGGGTTCAAACCAGTAGCTTTTTTTATTAGGAATAATCCATGAAACTTATTCCACTTGCAGGAACGGAGCAGTGCCTTTTTTATTAGTTAAGCTATACTTACAACTTCCATACATGCTACAGTCCCCATTGTGCCGTGGCAAATGAAGTGCCTGCCCAAGGTAAACCAAGGTAGAATAACTGTTGAATATCGCCTGATTCAAAAGTAAGCTCACAGATTTAGTCCAAAGCGTTTCTTGGATTCTTCAGGCTGTGTGGAAAGGCAAACAAAGAATATCCCAAATGTAGCTGGGCTGTGGCTATGGCTCTCCAAACTTAAGCTGAAAACAAAAAGAGAGACGGGAACTTGTATTCAAAGGTTTCCATGGAAATGAATGTCTCCAGAAAACTCTTAGAATTAAATCAAAGCAAGTAAGAACAGATGACAATTGCTGAATCAAAAAAAGGACTACAGCACATGTGAGCTCTCTTCAGCTTGTCTTGCACCTCACCACAGTTCTTATTTTCACTTACACTTGCCACTGACAGCAGCAAGTCTCATCCTCAGCCTCACTGCAGCTGCTTTATGCAGGAGCAGCCAGCCTCTCACAGCTTCAAAACAGATGTAAGCAAGGAAAATCAAATTAGCTTAAGCGGTCCTGCAGCTGGTGCCAGTATGGAAAATGGCCGGAGATATGCAGGCCAGCATGATGGCACTGGTTTCCTCACCCCTCTTCCCCTGGATGAAGTAACCTTACTTACAACACGTTGCAGAATAAATCCGTGGACTGACCTGTTACAGAAAGAGTCAAGGAACCCGGATGACAAATGAATCACAAAGCCCTGCTTCTTCCACACTCCCGTATTCCTGCTTCCAATCATGGTTTCTAGATTCTCATTTTCGTTCGCAGGCAAAGGCAAAGGCTGAGCCTCGTTTATTTTCAACAGTCTGTTGGAGTTTATCAGTGAAAGGCCAGCAAACCGCAAAGCATACTTGCAGCTCTTCCTTTTGCGTACAGCGTTGTGTAACGACAAGGTGTATGTGATCAAATGGCTGCTAACTCAGAGTTATGGAGATAATCTGTCAGGAACCATTCTGTGAAATTAATCAAGCTTATTTATTTTCCATAAAAATGTTTTAATTTGCATAAATTGGAACATTTTGCAGCTGCCCTTGTCTTTAATATTGAAAGTATGGTTCCCAGCATGCGCTGTACCTCGTGCATCTCTGCAGGGCTTGACAATGACTAAGTGGGTACAGTCTAATTGTCTACATTTATATGAAGGGTATATTCACCAGCAGAGATAATCATGAATTATTTAGTCAAGATTCGAGGAGTTCCAGCTAGACATAATTGGTTGAATTAAGGGAACAATATCAAATTAAATTAGGCTAAGTTTAAATACTGTAGTAAGTATTTATTAACTCTCTTGTAAAAATGCTTCCTTGCTTTAAAAACAAAACTGTTGAAATAATGATTTCTAAACAAATTTGCTGCCATGCTTGAAACTCAAGTCCTGTACCAGTCCTTGAAAGTTAAATTAGTAGCTAGATTGATACTGACTTCGTTAATCTCTATTGTCAGTAAAGTGCAAGAAGTAATTAAAGTAACAGCTAGTAACAGGGAAACTATTTCTCCAGTTCTTGCACTTCAAAGTTCATATCATATTTAAACATAGCTAACGGTTTCTACTTGATTACAGTGTCTGACTTTTATTAATAAAGTTAAGTTTTAGAAAAGGAACGATTTTGCCATTTGACACATTGTCCTAGTGGAGAAACCTAATGTCTGTGGAAAAGTTTCCCTAAAGGATGATAGAAATGAAAACCTTTTGAAACCTTTGCAATTTGAGCTTGAAAAGCCCTAAAAAAAACTCTATTTGAAGAAAAGCCTTCTCATAATGGTTGACCTTTTCTAGCTCTTGTTTTAAAATCCCTTGTGTCTGAGGGTCGTACCTGTCTATACAGAGCCCGTACAGAAGAGGCTGCAGGCGGGTTGCTGGCGGGGTTTGCTCTCCTCCAGCGAGCTCTGGGCTACCCAGGCTTCGTGACACTGGGCCAGAGTCTCAGCCGGGCTCTCTCAGAGCCTGGGGGAAGCTACCTGCAGCTCCCTGACACATGAGCCAGGCCATTTTCTTCACGATCTTGTTTGTAGGCGAAGGAGAGCTTTCCTTGCTTGCATCTGTGCCTGTGCACAGACCACCCAGGAGCTTCTCCTAGCCAACGCTCCTGGGGATGGGGCTTAGTTGCCGCTGGTGAATGACTCTTAAGCCTGGTAGGGTGCAATGTAAGTAAAATCAGTTTCTTCAGTAGCTACAAAATCAACGTTTAAGTTTTTCCACTGCCTGCTCTGTTTTGGAATGTAGCATTTCAAAAAATAAAGTACTACCTATTAATTTGCTTAGATCCCAACATAACGGGAAACATTACAGCAACTTAGATAAAGTAATGGAGACAATCATTTTCATTGTCTTTGTGTAAAAATGGAACATGGGGCCTAGTAGATGAACTTTATCTTTCGTACAGAGTGAACACAAAAGACTCTCCAAAGCCAAATTACTGTCAAGCCCTTGGTCCGGGAACTGTTCGTGTATTTTAAGCTAAATGATTCTAAACATTCTGTGTTTATTTCTTCCAGATTATAAATGCACTTGAAGAAGATCCAGCTGCACAAAAAATGCAGCTTGCCTTCCGTTTACAGCAAATAGCAGCTGCATTAGAGAATAAAGTGACTGACCTTTGACTCAAAAGCCGCAATAAAGAAATCTGATATCAAGATGTTCAAATTCATTCTTCCTGTTAAGGAAATAGTGTTCTATTTTTTAATGTATAATTACAACTTTAAATGAAATATTTCATGTTTTTTTGATAGCAGAGGTGTAATGTAAAAAATTTTTACTGTAAATTATGCTTCTAATTAAAAGCTGTGTTGTGTGTAAATGAATTTTCTGTGGGAAAGAGAGTCCTTTGGTTGGGGGCAGGGTGGGGGGTTGGAAGAAGGAAGGTTTATGGTTCGTTTAATTTAGTAGACTCTGAAACATCAGCATCTAGGAATCATTATGAAAGTAAATTCAATACTACAGCATCCTTTATATTTTAAGCAATATTTATACTAGGAAAACAATGGCATATTCAGAGAAACATGCAATATCCCCTTTTATTTTGATAACTGGAAATTGATTTCCATATAGCTCTAAAACTACTTTATCTGTGCTCATAATGAACATAGTAAACAATGTATCTGATTTTTCTGTAAGATCGGGAAATGGGATTTGCTACCACACACAGTTCTTAATTAATTTAATTATTTATGTCCACGGTAATGCACAGTGTTGCACCCACCACAGCTGGTTGCGATGGAAGTAAAAGTAATGTCATCCCTGTAGGAGGGTTCTACTGATGAAGTCTCATTTGGTTCAGAAATCACTGCAGTGGAGAAGTAGCTCTTAAAACTTTACAACTTTTTGTTATTATTGTGAGTTTTATGATATATGCTAATGTGCCTTACTTGTACTAATTCTGTGAATCTGATGAATGGTTTTGTAAAAAGAAGCAGATCAGAAAAAGAAATATTTATGTGCTCTTGAATGACTTTTGTGTGAAAAACATGACCAGCAGAATGCTTGTAATTAGCTGCTTGCCGAGAGTGTGCTGTTTAACATGATTTGATTATGTATAATATCTTATATTGGAATGGTTCTGATGATTTTTTATTTGAATCTTGGAACTGTCCTAGGATACCATCATTTGTTTTTATTGTATTTGTGATGTAAAATACTAGTATGATATTGGAAAAATCATATACCCATATACTGAAAACCACTCAATCAGTTTTGAGCCTTGGAATGCTGCGTTTGATTGAATACACACCATAACCCATAGCAATGAAAATTAAAATAACTTGTCAAAAAGTGTGTGTTTACAATATACGTAAGCTCTATACAAGTCAAAAAGTTAGGTACGTCTTCTTAAATTGCTGTATTGCACATCAGAGAATTTATTCCTTTTTGTCTCACAAGTTTTTGGCAGTAAAGTAGCATTTTAATGAAACGCTGCCACCTGTACTGGTTCCCACTCGTTGTCCTGCCCAGCGCCTGGACTCTGCTGAGTCTCCGCAAGCTGCACAGTTTCTACTGCCCGCTCTCCCTGCCCAGTAGCTTGTCATACAGTGAGTTTTACAGTTTGTTGATCCTTTTTTTTTTCCCTCTTTGAAAATTCCCTAGGACTTGTCAGTGGGCCTTTCCTTCAGCTTCCAAAAGTCAAAAGCCTCACCAGAACTGGTTTCCTATCCAGTGGCCTGGGAGGGGAGGGTTGTTTGTTTTGTACTCAACTTCTTGCATTTGTGTGTAATCATTCCTGAACCTGAGGTATAAGTTATTTTACAGTGTTTAGGACTGAGGTACGTAAGACTTCTACATAAAGGTGCTTCGCCAGCTACACCTTCATCAACAAAGGCATCCTAATTTCATGGCTAATATGTTTCATTGTCATTATTTGTAAATCCTGTTAATTGTAAATCAAATACAATGTTGTTTTTTTCCACAAAGTGTCACAGGATCTTTACTGAAATTGGGGGGTGGAGATGGGGGTAGAAAGGGGTTTCTAATGCTTCCTCCATGGGGTGACAGAGCAGCAGCGTCGGCAGGCGGTTGGTAACGGAAGAGCACAGCATATTCTGCAGAGGGTATGTCTGACATCATGCCCTCGTTATGGGCATTTTGTCTGAAAAATGGGAGTGCTCTTGAGAAGAGGGGATGTTTTGCAACATCCTATAGTGAAATCTTATTCCTGATGAAAATTCATCTTGAGATCTGCAAGTCAATTAAAATGTGAGCTCAGTGGCATCTCTCCAGAGATCAGAAAGCAAGGAGGGTTGTCAGAGGGAACGTGAGTTACCCCCCACCCTCGGTGACTTGATTCTGAGCAGCTGCAGGCGATCACAAGGCGCCGTGGGCTGTGGCAATGCTGTAGCGGGGTCTTTCTTACTTGTCAGACCAGCTTATCTGCTGTGTGTGTGAGTTGTGTGAGGGAGCCACTGGTCACCCTTTGTGGCACTTCCCCTTTTTCCCATTCTGTGGGAAATGTGGAGCTTTCGGTACTGCCGTGCCCCTGCCAGGGAGCACGGGAAGGTAGCTGTGACCAGCTGTGGCTACGAAAGAGACTTCTTGCCTGTTCTTCAGTTTCCCTAAGTCTCCTCTCCCAAAAGCATGGAGCTGGAATCTGAATCGAAGGTCTGAGTTATTTGATTTTATTCTTTCTCCTTTTGGCTAAGCTCCTGCAATGCCTGTTTTTCCACTCTGGTGTTCTGTTTTTGTCCAGGCCTAGTTTTTGGCTTTGATTTTCCCTCCGTTTCAGGAATCAGATTCCTAAAGACTTCATGCTCCTCCTTTGGTTTCTGCTGCTCCTGCCATCTGGTTCATCTACAACATAAAAGAAGAAAGCTCACTGGGGTCTCCCTCCTTTCCATCCCCGCTGCAGCCCTTCTAAAGAACACTTCTTTGAGCACAAGCACCTTCCCTCCCCTTAGCAGGAGCCACCTTTTTCCATAGCAGCAGCTGTGAACAAAGCTTCCTTGCTTGGATGTCTATCAGCAGTTCAAAGGTGCACGCAGGCTGCCACCCACCACCCACAAGGTCTGAATCCTGTTGCTGATTTCAGCCTCTCCAGAGCTGCAAGGCTTTTCTCTCCCTCCCCCTCTTTTCTCCTTGTTTTTCCACCACCACAGAAGCAAGTAGAGATCTCAGACGATGGGACAAGGTCTTTGGCTGTGCTTTCCAAATACTGAATAGAGGAACTTGCCCAGCTGAAAAGAAATGTAGGTTTTCTTCTCTGGGCAGGAATTCACTCTCTATTGTTTAGTGCCAAGTTTCGCTCTGGCACCTTTCTACATGTTTTTGCAGCTCTGTGTATGCCATAGAGTTATAAGCAAGTGGTTATGGGTGGAGGGGACCTCAGCTAGCTTGTACATGTGCAGCATAGCACTTCCCCAGATGGTTTCTAACCCCTTTCGTAGGCTGCTGTATTGGAGACAGCCTTCTTCTCCCACATGTTTTTCAGCCTGCTCAGCCTGAGCTGTGTTTACATACACTACGTCAATCTGCCTTCTCTGGCAGCCTTTTGAAGACCAGCAGAGGCATCACTTTAAACAAAAAACACACAGGGAATGCAGGAACTCACACTGGAATTGGTAAATTCACAAATGCCCAAGCCGTCATAACACCAGAGTTTTTTCAGTCAGTTGTATAAAGGTTTGAAATGCCTCTGAGGTTGAATTTCAGCTGCCCTGGACTTACCAGAACTGATGAGATTTCTGTGGCCAGGCCTTTACTATTCCAGGCTCTCAAGCCCCATGGAATGATTAAGGAAGTCATTTTCAGCCATATTATATCCTGGTAGTATGCACCTGCCGTAGCCTAAGATCTCTGGAGGTGATCCAAAAACCTTTCTCTTACACACTTTGTGGCTGCAACATTGCAATTTACTATGCTAAATTGCTGTAGTAAAATTTCACATTTGTATATAACAAAGTGGTATAATAGTTCTCTCAGGAATTCCTTTCTAAAGAATTTGATCTTGAGGAGAGATTGCGTTCTCTTAAGACTTTTCCCAAGTCTGTTGTCTTCTCTTAGGAAAAAAACACACTTTTTTTCTCTTCCTTAGTCTAGAGAGAACCTATCAGAACGAGACGGTTGATTTCAAAAGCTTAAAGAAGGATGTCTGGCTCTCAGTTTTCTACCAACAACTAGCTAGAGTACTGTGTTATCCTAATTTATGACCAGGTGTGATGAAATTTGGCAATCTGAATTGTTGCTCTGTAAATCTCAGCATCGTGGTCCTTGTGACTTCATTTCATGCCACATCCCCAGCCTCAGGCAGTCAAGCTCAGCTCCTGAGGATCTCCAGGCTCCCCGTTAGGAAAGCCCATCTCCTCTTAATGGTCTGCTTTAGCTTGTCTGCTTGTAGCAGGAAATTTTCTGCAGGAAAAAAAGACAGCATCGTGCCTCAGCTAAAATGATGATTAGCTCTGTTTTCTCAGGCTCTGTAGTTTTGTATTGTGTGTGCTCCCTTTTTTATTTTGAGGGACCCTCATTCAATTGAAAATGATGAATTTGAAATGCGTTATTGTGAACAAGAGTTTGGCTTGTAGCCTTTCTCTTTTGTTAACCTTTGTCTTCATGGAGGATAAACGTGATGGTGGAAGTCTTCATGTTTAACATTTCATGCGGAATAGAAGGAAAAAAGATTCTCCCGACCAAGAGTTACTAGTAAGCTTTTAAGGTTTTTTTTTTTTTTCTTCAGATTGTGGTACCTTGCGACTCAGTAGCAAGGAACATTTCTCGAGATCCTAGAGCTGAAATTGTCTTCTCCTGCGCAGGCTCGTAATAACCATCCATGCGCTATAAGATCACTGCCTTTGTACCACTTTAGGGCTAACTTTTGTCTTGCGTGTGCATACTAGTTGCTGCATGTGCCTACTAGTTGCTGCTGTGTGCCGTTCCCAAAGAAGACAAAATCCTACTATCATTCATATCCAGGCAATCAAAAGCTATTTAATTTATCCATGTA